AAGCAGCTATTACTGACATTCTAATTTTAAAATTTAAAATACTGCTAGTTTCAGACAGCAACACCTGAATTGATGCAGGAAGCTCACACAGACAAATATATGTAATCAGATGGGCATTGCTCGGTAGGGGTAAAGGTCACCTTTATTTTCAATTGGTTGAGTAAAAATTATATAATTATTCAACCAACTCTAACAGTTGAACATCCATATTTCTGCTGTTATAAGAAATGGTGTGATCCAAATACTTATAGATGCATTTTTAAGCACATCTCTTATTATTTTCTTTGCGAAATACCAACAGGTAGGATTGTTGGGTTAAAATAGATGACCAACAAAATATTATTTTTGACTTTCAAAAACACTTTTCAAATAGATATTTTAAAAGCTCTTGATATATAGTGCAGAACTGATTCCCAGGAATGTTGTGCCAAATTATATTTCCACCTGTAGTGGATGAGAGTATTTACTTTCAACTTTAATTAGTGGCAGGCCCAGATGGCTCCTAAATTGGATGGATTTTTTTTTTAATGCCTAATATATGAGTAACTTAAGAAAAGAAAGTGTATTCTCCACAGGAAGATTCCTGCTCCTTGCTTCCTTTACTCAGGCATCATTTGGGTCCTCGTGGGTGTAGAAGCCTTGGCTCCAGCTGCTCATCTCAATCCCATGAATCTCTGAAGCTTAAGAGCTCACTTATCATTACAGTTTTACCCTCTGTTCTTGGTGCAGGGAGATGTGAATTTCTTGGTTTTCATCTTTTAAATACACAAACATAATTTTAAATGTCACTTCTAAGTGTAGGAGCAGAATGGGGAGGTTTTGGCATGAGATCACTCTACCATCTTGGTAGATGGTAGTCTATTCTGAATCTTGACAGCTCTATTTTCTTGCTTTAACACTGTGGACTTTATCATGATCATATACTGGTATGCTTATGTATATATTTGTTTAAAAGATCTTGAATGAAATGTGTGTGTGTGTGTGTGTGTATACATATGTTATGTATTTCTCTTTAGAGAAGCTTGATGTAGAGAACTCTAATCAGAATTGGTTTTTGACCTTTGAAACGATGTGTGGATCGCCTGGTTGCACTGACAGTCAACCATGTTGTTGTTGGAGTTAGCCTCTCAAAGCTCTCGCTGGGGCTGGCCAGTGTGCACTTGTGTTATGAGTATAAGGATAAGGCAGCAGTCTGAGGGGAGTGAGAGGTGAGCCAAGACCAGAGGTGGCTGTAAAGAGCAGGGTGGCATTTGGTGCCGAAGCCACTGTTCTGGGGTCTCTTTACATTTCAAGTGTCCTGTGTACTCCAGTGCATGTCTAAGTGCATGCGTTTGTCAGTGTGTGTCTAGGCTGCTGGAAAGACCAAGCCCCAGTCAGCCTCTGCTTGACACAGAATCTGTGTGAATCCTGAGGATTCCAAAAATGCCATTGACTCACCAAGATAAAAGAGGAAAAGGAATCCATTTCCCCCTAGTGAGTCTTTAGCTTTATCCATTACTCCTTTAAATTAGAATGCATTACGCACTGTCCTCCTGCCAGAATGACCTCCAATTATTCCCATAATTGCCACTGTTGTCAGGCAGGGGGAGTAACAAGTTGGGCATTTGTGCTTCCCTTGTATGTGGCCCCATCTATCCTATTGAAGTTTTTGGGATTTGCCTGTAACTATTAGTGCTCTTGAAGATCTTTTACTCTATTTTTATATTCCATTTATCATTTCCATGGGAATCTTGAAGGAAGGTAAATGCTTGTGTTTGTGCTGCCCATTTACCAGGAAGTCAGTAAGTTCTTATTAAAGACCTCCTATGGAATATCTGGCCAGTTATCATTTTATTATGCATTTTAAAAACAGAACTGCTTCTTCCTGCCTTTGTAACAGAATTATTTTGTCAATCTAGACGTCAATCAAAGATTGCAGTTCAAAACAGGTAGTTATTTCAAATAAAGATTGCACTAAAACATTTATTGACCATGTAAATACTGATGGAGGTCGATATAAGCACCTCTAGGGGTTCCAATATTGATCAAAAATGCCTATTTTGTCTAAATGCTATTTCAGTGGAGGCAGTACAGTGGAGCAGACCACATTTTTTTATAGTTAGCAATAAACAACTGAAAGATAAGATGCTGATGGAGACATTTAGCTATGGTGTCCTGTGATGACTATATTCTAACTCAAAATTGAAAATAACATTATATGGGGGCACCTGAGTGGCTCAGTTGGTTGGGTGTCCAACTTTGGCTCCGGTCATGATCTCGCAGTGAGTTCAAGCTCCATGTCAGGGTCTGCGCTGACGGCTTGGAGCCTGGAGACTGCTTCCGATTCTGTCTCTCTCTCTGCCCCTCCCCCACTTGCACTCTATCTCTCAAAAATAAAAACATTAAAAAAATTAAAAAAAAAAAGAAAATAACATTATATGTTATATATTAAGGAAAGCTCTCATCTACCATAATTTTCAAAGGGATCCAAACTGAAAGATTTAGACAACAGTTACTTAATACTTAGAGAAAAAACAGTTGTAAATTAGCTGCTTTAAATAATAGTAATGTGGTACCAGCATTAGCAGCACCAGCAGCTGTAACATCCATGTATGAACACCTTATACTACCAGGGGCTCTGTTAGCTACTTCACATATATCTCATTTAATCCTCCAATTCTGCCAGTTTAGATATTATGAACTCCAGCTTTTATATGAGGGAAGAGGACCAGAGGTTAATTAATTTGCCCAATGAAGTTGGATGGCTAATTGGGATATTCTCTGGGGCACCTCCAGGGATCTTCAGAAATTCTGCAGAACACTGTTCACATGGGTTCAAACTGTTCCTCCAGGCTGCCTCTATGATTCACATTGCTACAGCTATCCTGACGAGAGCTAGATGGCCGGGTTTGCAAGGCTGTAGAAAGCACTTGTGGTCTCTGTGATCCTACATCTAGATTCTTAAGTTGGGGTTTATAAACATTCTAAAGATGGATGCAAATGTGTAACTGCACATGTCTGGTAACGGGGCTTTCTCCAGATTTCAGTAGAGGCCACCATCTAAAAAAGGTTCAGAATTATCTTCTAGCTATTCCATCAGAGAATAGGTTTAAGCTATAACACCCAAGAAATTTGATTCTCATTTCTGAGGAAATCCCATTGTATAACATCCCAGAGTTTACTTATGTTAAGAAGAAAGTGAAGGCAATTACCCAAGAGAAAATTCCAAATTGTAACTTGAAATAACCAGACAGTCATGCCAAAGGAAATGAGGTAGAGGCTGCAGCTGAATTATCTACCTCATGGTAGTAATTTTCTGCTTTCCATTACATATAGAAAAGCTACTGCATAAAGAGAAAGAAAATGAGCTGAGTTTATCTGAATTATCAAGCTGAGAAAGATAGGTCATAAAAATTATAAAACTACTGGGAATACATGCCAATGTTAGCAATTATATCTCTAAATAAAAAGACAATGCAGAAACTATTTGCCAGTTTAAACAGCAGATGAGGTACGGTCTTACGACATAAAAAGTGCCAATGGAATTTTTCACTTCTCTTCCAAAGGAGTTCTGCTGAATTTCAAATATTTTCTTTGAATAATCATGTTTGACAAATGGAAAGGTTAATGTTAGCAAGGTAATTAAAATTAACGATGGCAGTGTCTGCTGGGCTGTGTGTGTATATGCAGGTGTTTCTCTCCACGGGTCCCACCCTAACTTAAAAATGTCTGATACGTGAAATTCTGAGTATACACATAATACATTAGAAGCATTTTCATCTATCCTGAAACCCATAGGATTTCTTCATATAAAGAGTTCTTATAGGGTTTTTGAAATATAATTTGATTTTTTTTAATGTAATAGGTTATACAAAATTAAGAAAAAAAAAACTCACTGCAGAAATTAAACATGGTTTCCAATCTTCTTTCTATAGTTTTGAAGTTAAAAGTTATTCCAAAGGGTCTCTGAATATTATCCTCTACGAAGACAAACCATTTACTACATAGGACTTCACTCGGAACTTATTATTTGGATACTTTGTGAACAAAGACTTTTATCTGTACCTTTCTACATTTATATTTATATATATTTGATATCTGGTCCCCAGGATAGGGAAGATTAAGAGTGGCACATGGGGACAGTGGAATGCTAGAGGTCAGCGCGAAGATGACCAGCAGTCAGACTGACATCAGGAGACGGAAGAACAAACACATTAAGAGGGAGTCCAAATCCATGAAGAGGCAATTTTGCTGGGAGACGGGGGAGGGAAGGATGGAAGTGTCTGATCGTTTAAGCTCTCCCAGAGGATCTCCCTGTCTGCTGGGACACTGGCAGTCACTAAGTCTGGTGCCCCCGCAATCTCTTTCTAGCCCAGTGCTGACTCTGGGGGTGTTCAGAGAGGTATTCTCCTGGCCCCATCTTAGGAGGAAATGCCTGAGCCAGCAGCTCTGATGAGTAGGGAACCGGTTCAGCTATTCTATAGCCCTTTAATTAATTACCCTGCTGAGTGCCCCCAGGTCTGTTCCTAGTCTTCCCTGCCTGTGATCTTGGACATTTTTTTCACGGTTCTTGCTAACTTACTATTTCAGCAGCTTTGTCTTTGATCTTTATTATGTTTTGGGGTCTTTTGCTCAGCTGGGCTGTACCTTCCATTTTATTCCATCTGTTGTGTATTATTCAAAAATCCCTAAATGTTGGTTCTTAACCTTCCAGGTTTCCAGTGCTGTTGTGGATTTATTTTTCTATTTGTTCTTCCATTTCAAAGAGACTTTGGATGGAAGAAGAGGCAAAAACATGTCTTAATCAGCTATCTTCTGTTGGAAGCCATTTCGGGCACTTTAAATAAAGTCAATATGCTCCCGTTACAAGGAGTGTATTAAGATTTTTATCAATTAGCTGTTAGTTTTACTATAGGAAAACCAACGCATTTAACAAAATTAAACCGTCAAGCTTGAAATTTCCTTTGGTTTTGTTAAATGAGTTACTGGAGGAAAAAAGTGAAAAAATGCAGAAAACTTACAATCCATATCAAGTATGGCCCGAACAGATTTCACAAGTTCCTTAGATTCAAGCGCCAGCGTTGCTGCGATGTTACATCCATTCCTTCCCAGGGGTGTGAGGGAAGTCTGAGAGGCCAACACCACTCTTCTTTCACTGTGGCGGCAACAATGCAAAGCCGAGCTTATTACACAATAGATAACATCCATCTTGGCGGAATCTGAATTCTTATGTACAAAAGTATTTGTATTTCTGGGAATACTGGAGTCTTATAGTCATAAAATGAAGTAATCACAAAACACTTCTGTTTTCCATTCTTTGTTATGTAACAAAGACATAGTTAAAGAATTAGATAGACCTGATAAGAAGGAGGAATAAATCATTGTTGGGCTTATTTTGTGAGCACTTATGTTATGCTAACATGATATAGCCTTTTATTTAGTTTTGTAAAAATGCAAACGAAGCACTTAGACGTAAATTTATTAAGCAGGCATTTACTGTTACTTCTTGTAATATTAAGTATAATTTCAATATGCATATGTGCTCCTGAAATTATCTCTTAAGCTCTCCCATTTGTTGTCCCTAAATCTAAACAGCATTTATATCAAATTTTGAAGACGCAAATGTCACCTGAAATGTAGTGTGCTATAATTTAAAATGCCAGGTTTTACTGCAGAAAACCATTATGTTAAAACTTTTACTTGAAAAGGGACAATTTTAAACTGATTAACAAAACTATTATTATTTATAATCCATCTTCTTAAGCAGGATGGTATTCGTTCATAAGGAGAAACTAAAATATTGACAATTCTCAAATTCTCAAATTCAAATACATCGATTTCAAATTCTAACTTATTCTGTGTTGAATGACCAAGTCCTAAATTTATTACAGGAGACATAGTATATTAGAAAGAATGAACCATACTTTACTAGAGTTTAAGTTTCTAAGACATGGTGAAAAGTTGCTTAATCTTATTTTTTAAGGTTACCTTTTTTTCCCCCATGAACCAGTTTAAGTTTGAGGGCGAGCTCTGGCTTTTAAATAGTTATTTTTAACCTTCATTTTTAATACCAAAACTTTTGAATTTTTATTCAAGGTCACAATGAGACCTTGGTGGGTGGAGATAGGGGATCTATCTAACCATACAAGGGAATTTGATTGCTGAGTAGTTTAACATTGTTGTTGAAAATAATTACCTTACATCATAAGCAGCATGGAGAGCAATCTTTCATTAGAATAACACACGACAACAAAGTGAATTTAAAAGTATACTATTATCACATAAAGTAGAGAATAATCAAATTACCATGGTGTACACTTGAGACTAAAATAAAATTGTAGGTCAACTACAAGTTCAATAATGATTTTTTACAAAAAAGTGTACTATCACTGATATTCTTCTAAGGTAAAAAAAAATGCTATGTGGAACCCTGAAATATAGTAAGAATACAATGAAACATCTTCATTTATTAAACTGTTGTTTTCATAGTAAAGGGCAGAGATTCCCTGTTTCTGCAAGCGTGCATTGCTAGAAGTAGAAGTGCATTGCTAGTGGCAGCTATTAGGAGATGAGGGCAAAAACTGCTTTGAAAATGGATAAACCGGAAACTTTCTTTTATGAATCTCTCATTATGTATCACAATGACCATAAACTTGCAGTCTGAAATACATAAATCTTATTAAGATGCTTGTAGCTCTTAGAAAGAAACTTTGAATTGGAAACAAACTGTGAATAATAACAAAATCGAAGTGTATTCTCCAAATATATTTCTTTTATTTGTGTCTACCGAATGCTGAAACTGAAAGAAACTGATTGCATGTACATGTTTTATAAAATTCTGTTTGCCGTAACAACGGATCTGCTAGCTTGAGACTGACCTTTAAAGTGCTTTTTATTTATACACAGGATGCTTATAGAACTTTAAGGTAATCCCCTCTTTACAGAAGTCCTGACAAAAACAAGATAGGGGATTCCTACCTCAACAGAGTACTAGGTTACAGTGACTGGCTAAATAACTCCAGGAATTTCTTTTACAGAAATGGGGCCAAAAACAACACGTCCTTATATCCGTTTCCACAAGACATTAAAAAACAGTATCAAATAGGAGTTATGTAGAATCTTAAGGCTATTTAAGAGATTTTAGTCACAATTACCAAATAAAAACCGTAATCATACTCTATGGTAAACACTTAAATGTTCTTACCTTAAATTTGATAAAGGAGGAGGATTATCAGAAAATAATTCTTGAATAGTCTAGAATCAAAGGAGATAGTAAAGGAGATATGTAAGTTTGATATTTTTAAACCATATTTTCTTACTTACCTAATGTTTCTAACCTCCCCCCTCCTTCCACTCCCAGTTGATTAAAAGGTGTTTCTGTTATGTGAGGAAAAAAGAATCAATTACATTGACATGGAACTCCACTCAGGTGTGTAAAAATAGCTATGGAAACATTTCTTTATAGGGTAAATATTTATTAAATAATGTTTGTATAGTATTAACAGTTTTGAAAAGGTGTTCAGAAAACAATTATATATATTTGGGATCATGTTATCCTGTCTCGATTATTGCTCTTAAGAATCTGTTTGTTAGCAGGTCTTTTCATTATTTATGCAATTTTAAAAATGGCTCTTGGTTAGAATTGCTGTTTTCAACCCAGAGAATGTCCCACTCGCCACCAAACACCATGACATTTATCCATATGTCAGTCATCTATAGATTTCTTAAGGATAGACATAAAGTAATGTAAAAGGAAAATTTACCTCTACAAAACGAAGAAGCTTTTCAGTGGACGCCTCAAAAGTTTTTCGAGCCATTTCTGATTTTCGCAATTGGCAGTCGAGCACTGTGATTCTCTTTCTTAACTCCTGAACACTTTCCTGGATAGAGGCATCAAAAGGAGGGTCTTACATATTTCTTTGATTTTACATCAGTGGCTCCTCGGTTCAGTTGTTATTAACTAATATTCAACATTACCATATTATTTGTTCTCTCTTACTATACCCATCTTCTGATTTGGGGAGGAACTTAATTGACTGCATATGCATATTTAAAAGTTAGATTGTATAGGGATGCTGCAAATTTTACAAGATAAGCTGCATATGGGTTTATCGATTCTTATAGTAAAGTATATTTGAATTGAGTTTATCATCATTTTTTTTTTGGCTTCTTTGTTTTACAACATGGCTTACCAGCTTCTGACAGAAATCGCTATCAGTGTGGCAAAACAAAAATTGTTGAAGATACACATATACATTTAATGTATATGTCAATGTAAAGCTGAGCTGGCAGAGAAGTAAAGGAATCCTGTGAACAGTAAAATAATCCCACTGACAGTAAAGGAATTCCATGGAGACGAAAAACAAAAATTCTGGGTGAACCCACTTATAAAAGAGTGTGCTACAGCATAATTTGCTCTGAGGGTATATCTTTGGGCACACATGGCAAACGAGAGAACTTTAATGGGTGGGTTAGAAAGAGACAATTGATGGTTTTGATTTTAGTTCTAGCAAGTAGGTTAAAAAAACTCTCCTCCATAATTTCTAATCACAAGCACCCTCTCATGAAGGTTTGAGGTCATAATTTGTATAACTTGTGTGTCCTGTAAGTTTATAAGGTGAAATTTTGGTTTAAATAAGTCCCAGACTGGCAGAAGCAAACAAAAAACTTCAGTGAAGGGATATTTCCTCAAATCAGATCCCAAAGAATTTCTACATATACTGTGTCAAAAGAATAGGACCTCAGGAAATAAGCTACCATGAACAAAAGCAGCTGAAGGAAGCAAATTACAGGATCAGACCTATAAAGACAGCAGACATTGGAGTGATCAGATACAGACTATAAAGTAGTGTTTAATATGTTTTAAAAATTAGGGAGGAATTTAAGACATGATAAAGGGAAAAGAAACTATAAAAAATAGATACATATGGCATAAAAAATCAATCTTAAAAATAAAAGTATAGTCAAAATGAAATTAGAAACTCAATTTATGAGTTTAATATCCAATTAGATATAGCTGAAAAGAGAATGGGTAAACTGGAAGACAGAGGTAAAGGTTTTCATAGAAAAAAAAAGGAGAAGGGGTAAGGAGAAAATAACTAGATGAATATATAGTATATACCCAATCTGAATTACACACATGAGGGTTCAGAAAGAATGAAAGAGACATAGCTCAGGGTAACAATTTGGAGTTTTTCAGATATAACAAAAGAATCTGTTCCTCAGATCAGGAAACTCAGTGAATCTCAAGCACTATAAATAAAAATAAGTCAACACATGACTCATCACAGTCTAACTGCTGAACATAGAAGATAAAGAGATCTTAAAATCATCAAGAAAGAAACAGCGGATTGCAAACAAATAACAGATTGGCTGCTGATATCACAATCATGGAATAAGGACACTGAAAGAAATTAAATGCAAACTTACTTTAAATGTAGGAGACATGTATTTCAAGAGCAAGAGTTCAATGAAGATGTTTTCAGACAAATGAAACTGAAGAGAATGTGTTACCAACAGATCCTCATTAAACACATTTCTAAAAGATGTACTCCAGGAAGGAAATAATTTTAGCAAGAAGGTCTGAGATGCAAAAAAGAATGTTGGACATAGAAAACGGTAAAGACGGGCATCTATTTAAACAAAAGTTGACTCCACAAAATAAACTGTGATAGTATCTGACTTATTGTGTTAAAAGTCAAGAACTAAAATACTGAAAAAAATAGAAATTAAGTAGGAAGGGATGATTGGATTTATGTCTTAAAGTGCTTATAATATTTAGAAGGGGAAAACTAGTGATTTTTTTGGTGTGTTTTTTAGAGCGAGCAGGGGAGGAGCAGAGAGATAGAGGGAGACACAGAATCTGAAGCAGGCTCAGGCTCTCAGCTGTCAGCACAGTGCCAGACACGGGGCTCAAACCCACCAACAGTGAGATCATGACCTGAGCCAAAGATAGGATGCTCAACTGACTGAGCCACCCAGGTGCCCCTAGTGATTAGTTTTATAATTTGAGTGAAAACAGAATGTTAAAATTTCTAAGATAATCATTAAAAATTAGAAACAGAGTGCATACCTTCTATAAACCAGCAGGAGGAAATACATTGAATGGGAGTTGGGGAACATAACCTGAACCAATTCAAAAAACAGGCAAGGAGCTCCTGGGTGGCTCAGTTGGTTAAGCATCTGACTCTTGATTTTGGCTCAGGTCATGATCTCACAGTTTATGGGATCAAGCCCTGGATGAAGCCCCATGTCGGGCTCTATGCTGACAGCCTAGAGCCTGTTTGAGATTCTTTCTCCCTCTCTCTGCCCCTCTCCTGCTTGCGCTCTCACAAAATTATTTATTTCTCACAAAATAAATAAACATTAAAAAAAACAGGCAAGAAATGACACCTTAAAAAAAAAACAACCCAAAACATAGCACAAATAAAATGAATAAATTAAAGAGGGTAGAAATGAAGCCAAGTGCATTTTCAAATAAAACAATGTAAATGGAAAGATATTTTCAATTAAAGGTCAAAAATTAGTAAGATGAGGAAATAATTCAGCTATATGTTGTTTACTGCACACACAATTAAAATGTGAGGACAATGCACAGTTTAACATGAAAGGTACATACACAGGTAAATACAAAAAGAAAACTGTTGTAACTATTTTAGTATTAATCAAAAATAAATATTAGGGGGAATAGAAGATTGCTAAATTGAAGAGTCACAACATTCCATAAAGGATGATAATGTTAATTCCAAGCCTATATGTGGCTAAAAACATTACTTCAAAAAATACAAATAAAAAAAGGAGATTTTAATGCATTTCTCTGACAAAGAAATTAAGATGACTAGAGAAAAGCTGAACTCTAAAATGAATGACGCTGATCTAGTGGATTATATAAAATGATGCACCAAAAAATTTGAAGAATTATTTTGAAGCTGACTTTGACCATGGCTATATAGTATAAGCCATGAAGTAAGCATCAACAAATTTTGGAGTCATTATACTATAGACTAGATTCTGTGTCTACAATGCAATTAACTGGTCTGTGCTTCAGTGGTGTTTATAAAAAAAAGACTCAATCATAAAGATATAAATTCTTCCCCAATTCATCTATATATGTAATGCATTTTCAGTAAAAATTCCAGTAATTTTTTTCTTCTTGTTGAATTTATAAAATACACACAAAAGGCCAAAGGGTTATGTAGTCAATATACTTTTAAAGAAAAAGAACTAGACAGCATGGTCATATATCAAGACTTCCTATAAAAGATACAGTAACCAAAACAGTATGTTATTTGCACAAGAATATACAAATAGGCCAAGGAAAGAGAATGGAGGGCCCTCAGAAAGACAGCTGCACATGAAATCTTGAGATATGACAGACCTGATTTTGTAGATCAATTAGGAAAGACGAAGCTTTTGAATAAATGGTGCTGGGATATCTGGTCATCCATTTAGAATAAAGAAAAGAATAAAATGGATCTCCTTCCCCATACAATGCCACTAAACCAATGACAGAAGGATCAAAACTTTTAAAGGTAAATATAAAGAATATCTTTGGGAATGGAAGAACTTCTAAAAAGGATACATAGGGAAAAGATTGATAAGTTTGCCTACCTGAAAATTGGTGTTTATTTTACCCCTGGGTGAAAGGCAAGCCATACATTTGAGAGAAAAGATTTTTAAATAATATATCAACTTAATACAGGATTAGTAATTGGAACATGTGAACAATCACTACATATCAATGTGCAAAGAAACCCAATGGGAAAATTAATTCCAAGTTGTGAAAAGGCATTTCACAGAGAAACACAAATACCTAACAAGTACATAAATATATGCTCAACTGGCTATCTGGGCCAGGGGGAAAAGCCCTGGTTTATAGCATTTGGGGGTATAAATAATTCCACCATGGCTGGTATCAAGCTATCAAACAACCTGATGCCACTGAATATGCAGTTGAGAAGAGACGCATACGATCACCTATTGTGAGCGAGCACTACAGCTGGTCCCAGCACACCAGTGGCTCAGAGTCATTAGTAATCAGGGAAATACAAATTAAACCATAATGAGATTTACTTATTACACCTACCAGATTGATATAAATTAAAAGTAAATGAAAAAAAAAAGTGTCAGCAAGGGTGTGGGGTAAATAGTATCTCTGGTTCACTACTGGAGGTGGGGCAGTAAAAATTGGCTTAAAAGCTTTCAGACACAATTAGGCATTACCTAGTCAAGTGGAACAATCATCATTCAACCTAGCAATTCCACTCTAAGACACGAACCCAAGAGAAACTGTTATACATGTGAAGCAGGATATATACCAAAATGTTTTTTATCAACATTCTTCATAATAAAGAAAACGGAAACAAATACAGAGTGGACAAATATACTGTAGTAATATCCATTCAAGGGAGTACAAAAAAAGCAATGAAAATACATGAACCAGCTATAAGTTTCAAATGGACAAATTGCAAAAATAAAAGTTTGAGTAAAAAAAAGCAAGTAGGAATAATACATGTAGGACATTTTTATTCACATAAAGTTGATAAACAGGCAAGACTCAACAACATTTACTGGTAAGAGATATAAACATATGTGATAAAATGACCAAGAAAATGGTTAACCGTACATAAATCCAGGAAAGTGGTAACTTCTGAGGGGCAAGGGAGGGGAATGTAGCTAGGGAGGGCCACTGGATCTTCAAAGGTGTTGGTAATGTTTTATTTCCTAAGCTGGGGGTAAATAGAAAAAATAAAAAATAAAAATGGTAAATAAGTATAGAGACAATAAAAGGAAAAATTTACAGTGAAAAATAAAAACATTGTTAAAAAAAATCTGTGTCTTAAAAATGAAGATCTCAATCTGAGTCCTGCAACATCTTGGTAAATGTCTTTTAAAGCAATCTCAAACATTTAAAAAAAAAAGTTTCTTTCTCTTTCCTCACTGGTATTGAGTTTGGAAAATGTTGAGATGCTCTTGTCTAATATATTTTTAAAAAAAATTAACAAACAGAAGATTGTTTTGTTTTCAGAGACACGTTAAGGGCTTAGCTTAGATAGAATCTTGTTGGGAGGAATGGCAGGAGATTCCATTATGTTAAAAAAGGGAAAAATTGAATTAATTACATTGCTAGACAACTTAGGACAAAAATGTCTCTCAGTAAGAGGTGGAACAGAGAATCACAAATAATTTATGCTTAAAAATTTTTTTGAATCAATTCATGAGAACTCTTTGAATATGATATTACTTAGAAGATATTTCTAATGACTGTTGATTATCCCTCCAAATGTAAAGAGAGTTTCATAAAACTGTACTTTTGAGATTTTAGTTCCCCAAGTATTTTCAGAATCATGTTAAAGTTACTCACATGAAATAAGCGTGAATCTCTGATTTCAAAAATAATGACTTTCCCTTAGCCTTGCGTATTATCAAAGGTGGCAGGAACATCATTTTTGTAATTGGTTTAAATGGACAGATATGAGAAATGTATTAGTGCCTCTCTAGAGCTAACCAAGGAAAATTTCAGATTTTCTTCTGTATTTTGCTTTTCTAAAACCAGTTTCACTTACACTTGGTGTATTTAAGGTATTTAACTGTTTTATGTTTCTAGAAATAGACATAAATTATTCAAATCTGCTTTATGTTTTCCTGAAAGTTGACCAGATTAGATATGGAAACATGTATCCTAAGAGAGCTTGTTGAAGTTATAAAATATGTATTTCAATTTACTTATTTTCTACCGCAGTAGAGTAAAAATGCATATGTCTGCTATAGTTTTTGAAGACCCTTCAATGAATATAGTATGTATTATGTTAAAAAAAAATCACGTCATAAAAAGATTCCCATAAAAAAGATTATATTGCCTTCTAAATAGCATTCAGTATTTTGCTATTGGAACTGGAGCCTATTAAATTCAAACTTAGTTTCTTCCTATTAATTATCTTGGGCCTTGGGCAACAATTATTTAACATTCACACTTCCTTGAGTGTTCTAATCAAAGAGCAAAACTCATCCCTACACTCTCCTCTTCCCATTCCCACAAGGCAAATTAGCAAGTTAAGGAACAAATGGAGAAAACCAATGTAATCAATTAAATGTTAAGTAGTGAACTTAATGCCTGAGCTGTACAATGTTGACCAATGACCCAAATAAATTTGGGGCACCTTCTTTTCCATCCCCAAGCTATGTGGATAAAGGGAGGCTCCCAACCTTCACATTATCCCCCATCGCATCACCACGACGCATCATCCTATCAGTGAATAATAGAAGACAAACACTGACCTAGTTTAGAAGTGCAGATGAAAAGAAAATGAAAACAGGATACATGACAACGGCAAGGAAACCATGGTAACTAAAAGAGAGGAGGTTTTGCTTACTTTATTTTGGTACGAATAATCAGCAAGCTGAGCCTTTAGATCTGTGATCTCGGCCTCTAACAGATGGATCACTTCTTCATAGTCCATTTCCATTCCATGTGCCTGTCGCTGTGCGGCTTCGGCAAGGTGAATCCGACTTCGCAGGGCTCTGGTTTCTTCAACAACAGCTTTGGCTTCCTGAGAATTGCAAAATTCATGCCATTGAAAAAAAAGCCAAGTTAAAAAAAAAAAACAGTTCGGCAGTTTAAACAAAATATTTTCCTCCCTCTGGAGGTTATAATTCCCATACTTAATCGATGTACATGTGTTCCTCACATTTCAATGTGAAAATGAGTATTCATGTTATTTATTTTATCATGGAGAGTAAATGCCTGATCTTACTTTTCCTCTGTTGATCTCCTGGATGATTTTCAGTATAGGATCTCCAACTTCACACACGGCATAACATTTTGGAAATAAGGGAAATAGAAGGGAATTGGAAGTGGAGAATAGAATAAGAAATGGTTCAGAAGATAAAAAGAGTACTGTCTTCCACAAAACTCAAGTAAGTAGTTGGGCTCATGTTCTATAAAGGTGCTTTCAGCTTCATCAGAGAGATCTGTGGTGTTGCGGACTTCCCTGCGGTCCATGCTCAGGATCCAAAGCTTATTCCTAGACATCAGTCTCACTGGTATTTCCCCCTTTTGATTTAAGCCAAAAGGTGGAATTCAGTAGCAAAGCACATAGCCATTTCTATAGGGTGCAATGCTCACAAGACATTTATTAAACTCATGTTATGTCCTAGAAGATTCATGTGTCTTTTCTCATTTAACCTTTAGAATAGAGAAAGGCATTATTAAAAACCACTTTAGAAGCACCTGGGTGGCTCAGTCGGTTAAGTGTCCAACTTCAGCTCAGGTCATGATCTCACGGTTAGTGGGTTCAAGCCCCGCGTCGGGCTCTGTGCTGACAGCTAGCTCAGAGCCTGGTGCCTGTTTTGGATTCTGTGTCTCCCTCTCTCTCTGACCCTCCCCTGCTCGCTCACTCTTTCTCTCAGAAATAAATAAAAAAACATTAAGAAAAAATTAAAAAAAAAACCACCATTTTATACATAGTTAACCAGAGGCTCAGAGAGGTTACCTATTCTGACCAAGGACACATAGCGTCGCCAGAGTTTAAACCTGGGTTTGCTGACTCCAACATTAATGCTCTTTCACCTTTTTACTCTGTCACTAAGTGACAAAACAAATGATAAAACAAACAAATAAAAAAACCCCAAATACTAGCTACATTCTCCACTTTAGGAAGAGGATGGGGTGACCAAAACCATTTGTGCTCTCAAAATGTGCCTTGGTGCTGGCTTAACAATGGTCCTCCAAGGACACTAATATAATTTCACATGGCAATTATACTGTAAACCATTTCTTTTTCTTTACTTGATGCAGAAATATCTTTTCTTTGCAATGGAACTTTCTGCTCCAATTGCCATGGCTAATATTCAACTATAGCTATTTTAATTTTCTCAGAGCTAATATAGGATGCTTGCTTTTGTCTGTGTCTAAATATATTTGAAATGAGAGTTAGGAATATGGACATATTTTTAATGGTAAACTTTTCATTCATAAGTACAATAGCTGTTTCCTAAGTACTTATTAGGTGTCAGGTTCTGTTTCAGGTACTGAGGACAGCAAATCTAACAAGATAGACAAAAAGTCCTCACTCTTTCCCCCCGCCCCACGCCCCAATTTACACTCTAGTGCAGAGAGACAGACAGTAAATCAGGGATTATCAGTGAAGATCTCACAGAGAAGACGTTTAATCAAAGACCTGCAGGAAGCATGGAACCATGAAGATTTCCCAAGGAGCTTTTTGGGCAAAGGAACCAGTTGGTGCAAAGGCCTAGAGGTGGAATTTTTTCTTCCATCTTTAGAGAATAGCAAAGAAGCCAGTGTGATGGAAGTAGAGAGCGGTAAGGGACAGGAAGAAGGGAAGAGTAGGACATGAGGAGTGACGGGGGGGTGGGGGGGTTGGGGTAGACTGGCACACCTTAAGGGGCTTTGTAGGCCATCATAAAAACTTTGGCTTGGGATGCCTGGGTGGCTCAGTTGGTTAAGCATCTGACTCTTGGTTTCAGCTCAGGTCATGATCTCATGGTTTGTGGATTCAAGCCCCACATGAGGGTCTCCACTCACAGTGCGGAGCCTGATTGGGATTCTCTCCCCCCCACCCCACCCCCACCTCGCTGCCCTCCATCACTAGGATTCTCTCTCCTCTCAAAAATAAATAAACATTAAAAACAGAGAAAAATAAATTAAGAAAAAAACTTTGGCTTTACTCAGGATGCAATGGGAAGTTATTGGGGAATTTGGTGCAGAAAAACGACTATGGTCTGACTTAAATTGTAAGTGGATTACTTTTGCTGATGGGTTGAGAGTAAATTGTAGGGGGTAGGCAAGGGTGGGGCAGGTGGTAGAAGGGGTCAGGCATAAAGTAACTGTGTCTTAAACAAGGGTGACAGTCTTAGAGATGGTGTAAAGAGATGAGATTCTAAATATAGTTTGAAAGTAGAGCCAACAGAAGACTTCATCATCATTAACAGCATTTACTTAGCAGCTAGCACATCCAGACAATCACATTATGTGATAAAAAATACAAAGGAGATAAAAGATACCTCCCTTTTCTGGCTCAGTTCAGAACATTAGGTATGACTTAGATAAGTGGAGAACAGGGTAGGGCATGTTAGACAAGAAGAACAAAGTGAACAGAGGAAGAGAGACAAGAAGGAATGTGATACATTTGAAAAATGGCACTAGATCAATTTTGACTAGTAGATGCTTCCTGGGAGAACAATGGATAAAAAAGGTTGAGGAGATATAGGGAAAGAACAAGCAAGACTCTAGTAGAAATGCCAAGACAGGCAAGAAGCTTGTATCAGGTAAATCTTTTTTTTTTTTTTTACTATTTTTTTATATATATTTATTCTTGAGGTGATGGGAGCAGAGAGAGGGGGACACAGAATCCAAAGCAGGCTCCAGGCTCTGAGCTGTCAGCACAGAGCCCAATGTGTGGCTCGACCTCACAAACTGCGGTATCATGAATTGAACCGAAGTTGGATATCTAACTGACTGAGCCACCGAGGCGCCCCATTATCAGGTGCATTTTAAGGCCTTTTGAGCAGAAATTGATTTAAGAACAGAGTGCTTCAGAAAGCTAAATCTGCCAGCAGGGTTCAGGATGGAGAGATGTGGCCAACTAACTGCCTACTATACCTCTGATTCAAAGAGCTTGATTTCGGCCACAGGAGCAAAAGATACATCATAGGGAATATAGTCAACAGTATTGCAACAGTGTTGCATGGCGACAGACGGTAATTAGGAGCACAGCATCACTGTATGGTTGCTGAATCACTACCTTGTACACATGAAACTTATATAACATTGCATGTCAACTATACTCAAATAAAAAAAAAACAACCCAAAGCTCTTGATTTCTTTATTTTTAAAACTAATTGCCTTATAATAAAAAAATACTTTTAGAAGAAATATCTGGGTAAACCAAAGAACATTTACAAAGCCACATCAATTGATTCAGGCCAGGTGACCAAGTCACTGGTGTCACAGCTTAATCACCTTCATGTCAGGCTGCTTCCGTGCATACAGGATGTAAACGGACACTGGCACTACTTTAAATGGTTTGCATGGACCATCTCAGTTAATCCACACACTGCTGCCTGAGGTTTGTCTATTATTATTATTTCCATTTAACAGGTGGAAAAAAACTGAAGCACAGGTAGGTTAAGTAACTTGCTTAGAAACACAAACCTAGGGGCACATGGATGGCTCAGTCAGCTAAGCGTCCAACTCTTGGTTTCAGCTCAGGTCATGATCTCATAGTTCATGGGATCGAGCCTTGCTTAGGGGGGTCTGCACTGACAATGCAGAGAAACTCCCCCTCTCTCTGCTCCGCCCCCCCCGCTTATGATCCCCCCTCAATAAACAAACAAACAAACAATAAAATAAAGTAAAATAAAATAAAAAGAATCAAAAATGTAAAAAGTGGCTGGGCTACGATTTGAACCAAGGCCGTCTAATCACAAGCATCAAGTTCATGCTCTTGGCTACTATGCCATACTATCTTTCCAACAACAGAACATGATTAAAAAAAAAAAATCACTCGTATTTGACAATATCATCAGTGCCCAATCCCACACGAGCTAAGGATGTGGCCATTACAACAGACTGAAATACCTTCGAGGCTGCTACACCGTTTCCCCTTTTCCACTCAATCAAGCTAGAAAAAAATACATTGCCAGTGAAGAGAATGAGGAGGGGCAGAGAATTCTCCATAGCTGCAATGAATAATAACTAATTTGATGATTTGTCTCCTTCACACTCACTTCAGGCAGCTTTTATTCCTCTATAAAAACAGCACTTTTATTTTTGTTCAAAGAATGCTGGTTAATTAAATGAAGAATCTGGATGGAATTTATATAGCCATGATAGTTCACTGATGGTAATACAGTGTGAAATGCGGCTGGGTGGTAAAAGATGCAGAGGTTTTGATGCTGAATAAATTCATGCTATTTCTTTTGTAAATGTATAACTGTCGGGTTGGTAAATGTAACCCCTTAGCAAAGTTCTAGCCCAATTCCCACTGAATGGCTGTTTAAAAGATTAGTGCATTGAAATGATGACTTTTAGAGGAAACAGTAAAACAGAGACAGCCACAGTGTGCTGTACTTAGCAATACTAGGTCACATAAATCCATTTTTTCTTTTCCTCACTGGTCATCTTCTAATAAATAACCGTAAAGCCTCCCATGTCCATAACAATGGAGCCAGAATTCTCTGAGTACCTCACCACGAGCCTGAAATCCAATCAGGGTAACTGCTGCAGCTAGTTCACTGACTGACTTTGTATTAGGTAGAGATTAATTCAGTTTAGAAAGTTAGAAAACTAAAGAGAACCCAAGATGTTATAGCAATCAGAAAAATCAACATAAGCATTATGCTTTTCTTTTTTTTTTTTTAAATGTTTTTTATTTATTTCTGAGAGAGAGAGACAGCGTGAGCAAGGGAGGGTCAGAGAGAGAGGGAGACACAGAATCTGAAACAGGCTCCAGGCTCTGAGCTAGCTGTCAGCACAGAGCCCGATGCGGGGCTCGAACCCACGAACCGTGAGATCATGACCCGAGCTGAA